TACCCTAATTTCCCCATATATATAGCATCTTTTGTTCATCTGAGGAGGGGGGGGAGAAAATTTTTTATTTTTTTTTGAGATTTTTTTTTAGTTGAAAATTTGGGATTCAAGATTTGGAGTTGGAACTACTTTGAGCGAAATATCATATCGGAGAAGGTTTAGACGATTCTTTTCCTTTAAATTCGAAGAAGCAAGTTCTCCTTGTTAAAAGTCAGCTCGAAATTCTTGGTTGGTCGTTCGAGTTTCCGAAGTAGTTAGTGGAAGAATCGCTGCTCGTCTGCTCGTGTTGTCTCATTTCGCTGACCAGAAAGAGGTAAATCCTCTTGTTCTCATTTAAATCCAGTTTCTTCTATGTTGTTCTGCTTATGACGTATTATAGGTTGTGTCTTGCGCTCCATTTATGTGTTGATTTTGTCTTGGTCTCTATATGTTAAGTTTCGGTTGATGAGTCTTTAGCTGGTAATAACTTTCCTCCCTACATGAGTATTATCTGTGTATAAATTAATTCTATGTTAGAGTTAGTTTGGCATTATTTGTGAGCATGTCCGATCTTCGATCTTTTATATATATTTTTTATTTTTTCTCTGGTCATCCGTAGTACATGTTCTTATCTGCAGTATTTTGTTGAGTGTGGATAAGATGGCCATCCAAATGGTTTAGTTTCTGTTTATCTAAAAATATGAGATTCTGTTCCTTTGTTTTGTATCACTATCTGTTCCATCTTGCCCTTTTTCATGAATTAGTAATTTTCGTTTTAGTTCCTCTATGACTTTATTCTTGAAAAAATTTATTTCTTGCTTATGTGTCTGTTTATAGGTTTGTCATTAGTAGCCTTCTTGAGAGGGTATACTTGGTTTTCCCTCGCTTTTCTTGTCTAAATAGGAGGATTAAGACCAGCAGTAGGTTGCTGTCCGGAATGTCAATCGCTTAAAATTATATTCTCGGTCCAACTTGAATCTCGAAGTGTGACATGTGTTTTAGCACAGCTGGTTGCTACTTATTTAATAACACCTTTGTCATGTTTAGTTATTTGAATGTGACAACGTTGTCTTCTAAAATGGCTTGGCAAGCTGTTGTGTTTAAAATTTCTGCCTTTTGACATAATGAATTAGCATCATTAAGTTACATTTGTAGAGTTAGCTTGGTCATTGCATAAGATATATTATTTGCGTACAGTGAAACGTGTTCCCTTTCTCATCCTTTGATTTGCCATTGTTTAATGTTAGTAGTTGGTCACATATTTCCTATAATGTAGTTTATTCTTGTTACCACCCCCCTCTTTTTTTTAATCGACTTTTATCCGTTCAAGTATATATGCATGCTACTTTAAGTAGGAGAATTTTGATGGTTGAGCTTGGTCATTTGTTAGGTCTGTTTGTTTTTCTTTTCTTCCGTAAGAGTTATTTGCTATTCTAGTCTTATAACTTTGTTTGGTTGCATTTTCTTTTGGGTTCTTAAGTAGCTTTATTTTCAGTCAAATCGTATTTCATTTGTTCTATTTGATTCGGGTGCTAATCCTTGCCTCCTTCGTTTTGTTGTATGAACTATCTCCGAACCCATTATCGAGTTTTATTGACATGCTTTGTTCCACTTTTATTGTTTTCTCCTCTATTATTTGTCTTAGGTCATCACTTATTATTTACTTTAAATACTTAAAGACCAAAAATCGATCGAAACAGTAGCTCATGTTTGTCTTTTAACAGTCATGTGATTAATCTAGCAATGATCTTGAGCTTGAGCGATTTTATTTGTTTAGTTGCACTGTGTTTTGTTGGATTTCGTGTTGCGAGTAGATTTAAATTTTATTCTCTTCGGTGCTATAGGATTCGGGAGTCTTTTCGCGTGTCATAGTTAATTTGATATCGAGAAGATTTTATTATTTATTTGAAGATGTGATTTGCCGGTGATTTAAAATTTAGCTTAGACATGAGAATCCATTTATCTGTTTCGTTTGCATTCACTAATTTTTATTTTCTATTTTTTAATTTTATTTTTGTTTTGTTTTAATCTTTATTTTGTCGCCTATATGGTTGTGGAAGTGCGTAATGGATCGTGCTATTAACTTAAGTTTAAAAAATGTTTGGGCAGTGTTGCACCCTTTTTTTTAAATTTTTTTTTTTATTTTATTTTATTTTTTAATTATTATTTTATTTTTGTTGATGTGCCATGTGCTAATTTAAGAGAAACATTAAACAGTGCCTTATTGTCTACCCATTTAGTATTGTTAATCAATTATCTCTACAATGCTTATCTACTCCTCATTAAATGTTTATCACGTATATGTAGTTCTGTCTATCATGCTAAGTTCATACGTTTGCATATTCTTACTGTAATCCTTGGTTAGCCGTAAAAATGTTCATGTTCCCCTCCAATTAGGGTGGTCCTACCTTCTTAAATTAATCGGGATTATTAGGTGTCAGTCACATGGATGGTTCTAGTTATTTCCTTTATTTGGGATTCCAATATTATGCTATGACGTGGAATTTTATCTTATTCTAATTCATTTTCTTTTGCCTTGTTTATTCGCATGCAAATATGCCGGAGTTCTTCATGAACTTCTATCTCCTTCCCTTGCATTTCGAGAGAGCCATCAAGGCTCCAAATTCCTTTATCGAGTCAACCGGCCAGCTATAAAAGTCGACGAACAGGTCTCGGAGGTGGAAGGATGTGAAAGCGGAGGAAAATTAAAAAGATTGGGCCGAGGGCCCACTCTTAATTTCAAATTGTATTTTGTTATTGGGCCTAAGCCCATTTAGTTGTTATTCTTGTTCTTGTTAGTCTTAGGACAGGTGCCACTCAAATGGGCCAAAGGCCCAAAACGAAAAATGGGCCCAAATACTGATCCAGGTGGACAGAAACCAGATTTGGGTCCAACTCTCTTTCCCTCTTTACTTTACTGTGTTTGTTTTGCGTATCAGTATTTGTCGTTAATCTTAGGGTCGAAAGGTTCAAATCCCCAAAAGACGCTCATTTCGCTTTCACAACTTAATTAAACTGATCATTTTTCAAAAGAGTTAAAAGAATAAATTTCAAAAGGTATCTCACTTAGGTCGTAGGTCAATATTTCCCTTTTTTCCCTTTTATAATCATCTCAACTATAAAATAGTTCAATCGTGCAAGTCAAGCTAAGTTAAAATTATTTTAGCTAAATAAATTAGTTGTCGGATAACCGCATTAGCGGATATTCTAGGTGCTTTAAAAACCTTCCTAGAATGTTAATAAGAATCTCGAATCCTTTTCAAGTTTTCACTAGATTCCTGTTTTAGTCTTGTGAAAATGATCAGTTTTCTTGATTTTTTCTTAAAAATTAAGTGGCGACTCTAAACCAGTCCAAAATAATATTTTTAAATAAAACACTATTGTCTTCCATGGTACCCACAGAATAGTGATTAACAGGACTCTCTTAGTTGCCATTGTCCTATATAAACACTTTCGAGAAGGTGTCTACCACTACAACACTCAGCAAAACTTGAAAGTACTCAAAGCTTTCTCTGCTTTTGAGATCTTCAGTATTTTTTTCTTTCTTTTCTCATCTATACTAAAACTAAATATAATGGCTATTCGTATGGCTCGTTATAATCAAGAAATTTGGAGATGTTCCCAAGGGATATCTTGCTGTGTATGTTGGGGAGGAGCAGAAGAAGAGATTTGTAATCCCCATATCATTCTTGAGCCAACCTTTATTTCAAGACTTACTCAGTCAAGCTGAGGAAGAATTTGGTTTTGATCATCCAATGGGCGGTCTCACCATACCCTGCAGAGAGGACATCTTCATTGACCTTACTTCTCGTTTGAGAAACTGATGAAGAAACTTTCTTTCACATTTTTGTAGAGCAGCAAAGCAGGATTTGCAGTCTGTACACTTAGGATTTAGAGAAAATAGTAGTTGATGTAAGAATGAGAGCTGTTACTAAAGTCTGACTAGGTAGATTAGTGAACTTATCTCTGTAAAGGCTGATTGTTATTCATGTCATGTCAAAGAGATAAATAACACTTCAATTTTTTCTACTTCAAAGATATCGAAGTATTGAATCTTTATCACTTTATTGTTCCATTCAGTTTGCGTTGATACTTTTTCTCCTTACGATTCCATATGCTCACGTCCTGTGGTTTGGTAACGTTTACGGACCAGAATCAAGTAACTTGACCACAACCAGGCACTCTGTTGTGTTAGTCAAATAACAAATACACCTGGAATTATACATAGAAATTAGAAACTAAGCTACAGTTAGAAAAATAACAGATAATAAACGCAACCATTGCTCTACAGCTTCCTATTAAAATGGGAAGTTAGGAACTTAGGATCTCGAAAGAGCTTTGCTTACAAAAGAATGAGTCTCTTTATTCAAGTTACTCATCCTTCATATGGAGTAGTTAATGTACTTAATAAATGTTTTAACCCACCAAACTAGAGGAAGTTCAGCTAGCGTTTGAGTCTAGCAACCTTCAGCAGATGCACATCTGAGCTCCTTTTTTTCTTTTTCTTTTTCTTTGTTCTTTGTTCTTATTTAACCAAAAGTTGAGAATTTCCTGTCAGGGTATAAGATGTTGTTTCACATGTCTCATATCTAGCGAGCTGATTTATTCTAACATCATTTTTCACTTAAGGACTTGCTGGCAGACTGCTATACATAATACAAGCTAACTTAGCTGTGTTCACTTGCCAAGCTGTCAGCATTGTTTGATATGCTTGGAATCATAACGCTTCAGAATTTGCTATGTTCAGATATATTGAGCATTTTATTGTGAGTGATAGGGCCTGTTGTCCTTGAACTAAGGCCTAATGTTAATTTGGTGTTTTAAGTATTGACAAAGGTAGGCCTCTCCCATGTTACCTTTTGTTTGTGATAATAAGCGAGGACATTTTTGTGTTTTCAGAGTTTGTTTTTATCCTAGTGATTCAGGAAAATATAAGCTCTAGGTTCGGAATCTTATTTAAAAATTCCAAAATGAGGATGCCTTGCTCAAGTTGACAGCAATGGTAGGGACTGTTGTTCTTGAACTAACAGTGTCTTAATTTAATTCACCTGGAAGGCAAAAGCATGTGAAACTTCAGTGACATTGTCTTCTGCTGGTGCCCACAAATTTATTTTCAACACATCAGGATTCTATGAGTTGTCATTGCCTATTTAAACACATTCAAAGAGGTGTCTACCACAACAACTCTCAGCAAAACTTGATAGTATTCAAAGCTTTCTTTGCTCTTGAGGTCTTTGATACATATTCTTTCTTTGTTTTCTCATCTATATTAAAACTAAAAGATCATGGCTATCCGTATGCCTCGAATAATCAAGAAGTCTTCAGATATTCCCAAGGGTCACTTTGCTGTGTATGTTGGAGAGAAACAGAAGAAGAGATTTGTGATTCCGATATCATTCTTGAGTGAACCTTTATTTCAAGATTTGCTTAATCAAGCTGAGGAAGAATTCGGCTTTGATCATCCAATGGGTGGTGTCACAATTCCCTGCACCGAGGATTTGTTCGTTAATCTTACATCTCGCTTGAGGAAGTGAGATGAAAACCAATCCCCATTCTTTTGCTTACACAATTTTGTAACTATGTAAAGCAGGATTTTCAGAGTGTACAGTTCAGGAGTTAGAAGAAACAGTAACTTGACGTTAGAATTAGGGGAGTTACCACTCTCTAACTAGGTAGACTAATGAATTTAGCTCCATAAAAGAATGGAGATGTAATACCCTTAGTCTCTTGACTAAGTTGACACTTTTCTACTTAAAAAAATTGAAGCAATGATATTTTTTTACTTCTATGGTTCCATTCAATTCCTTATATTGATTGAATAACTCATTGCAATATAAAAATTCTGTGTACAATGAGCTTGTTGATCGGTTTTCTTTGTTCTTATCTGATCCAAGATCTTAAGCATTTCCATTCCTGATTAAAATGTGTAAGTTAATTTACTTATAATAAGATATGGCATCTGTACTTTTCTTGAATATTGAAGACAGATATCTGGCAATAACAAGATTATGACTTATAATAATGGAAATTTGGAAATTGTAGCCTTCTGTATTCTCTGTTATTTGGAAACATTTACACTGCTGAGATAATTCGAGTAAATATTATCTAGATAGTTGATCCTGCATAATGACTTAGCATGAGGGACCAAACAACTTTGTCAGATATTGCTGTAAATTTATTTCTAATTGTAGAGTTGTTGAATTACAAGACAATTACACATGGTGGTTATAATTTGATCAAAAATCATGTGTTAGACAATTACATTTTATCAATTTGATTTCTAAAGATCTTCTGTTATCTATCTAGTCTGTGGCCAGCTGTTCTTCAGGCACAATGTCCTAAAATCATATATACTTGACAATGAGTTGAGTAGCAAAACCATGTGATATTTCGTGTGCTATTGTCAATCAACAGTACGACAAATGCCTCTCCACCAGTCAAAATTTTACATATGATTGATTTGTTTTCTCTTATAAATGGACACATGACAGTTTGCATCTGGGGTATGTTACAGTCCTAGTGGATAGTGTTCCAGACACAAATCATCATAAGACACCACCATTTTTATGGATTTGATTCTGAGAGATCCTTTGTTCCATGTATGAAAAAAAGGGTAGGACCTATTGTTGTTGAACTTATATGAGCTAAAGTAACTAATGTTGTCAATTAGTTGGAAGACAGAACCATGTGGTAATTGATATGTCATTGTCTTCACCACAAATAATGAGATTTTATGACTTGCCATTTGCTTATATAAACTTGTTTTGAGAAGTTGTCACCACCACAACTCTCCACAAAACAAAGAATACCACTTAAAGCTTTTCTGTTCTTTCAGTATCTTAAAGTATTCTTTCTCTTCATACTTTGCTCATCTTAAATTAAAGATCATGGCTATTCGTGTACCTCGTATAATCAAGAAGTCCTCGACATCCCTAGAAGTTCCCAAGGGACATTTTGCTGTTTATGTTGGGGAGAAGCAGAAGAAGAGATTTGTGATACCAATATCACACTTGAGCCAACCTTCATTTCAAGACTTGCTAAGTCAAGCAGAGGAAGAATTTGGCTTCGATCATCCAATGGGTGGTGTCACAATTCCCTGTCCAGAAGACATTTTTATTGCCATCACTTCTCAGCTTAGGATTTAAGAACATAGTTAAGATCATTTTTTCTTTTTATAGGTCTAACAATTTTGTATACAAATTAAAGCTGGAGATCCATATTGTACAGTTGATTAGTTACAAGTTAAATGAGACTTAGCACCACAAAGATTGGTGCTTTTTGACTAATTCAGAGAATACAAATACCTCATTTTCTCTCACTAAAATTGTGTTTCCTGGTTTATGTTTAAACAGTTTTACTTCAATCAGTTATCAATTGGCCTGCAATATGCACTAGACTATCTAATATAGCTCCGAGCATATATTAACAACAACATACCTAGTGTAGTCCCATAATGTGGAGTCTCGAGAAGTAGAGTGTAAGCATATCTTACCTCTACCTTGGAGGTGGAGCTCCAAGTATCTACAACTTTATTTATCTATTGCTATTAACAATATAATATTAGATTGGGATATCAACAAGGGGAACTTATTAAAACTAAACATGCCAAAATATGGCTTTGTTTTTTAACCTTATTTCTTGGTAGGACATAACATATATATGTCGTGAAGTGTTGAATAAAAAGGACTATGCCCTATATTTAGGGTATATGCGTGAAAAGGGATCTTAGACTTAGTGTATTTTGACACTAACAATGAATTGAAATGCTATAAACTAGTCCAGCTCGATGGATAAACATACAAATTTTATATTTTTAAAAAGAAAAGTAAAAAAGTAGTTAATTTAGGAAGCTTTATACTTATATAACCCACCAATGAACATACTTTTTCAGGAAAAAAAAACATAACTTGGAGAATTTTTATCATTATGGATGCTACTAGTGGAAATGTTCTAGGGGATGAAGAAAGTCAGCTTTCTTTTGGAAGTAGTAATAAAATTCAACCTACTATCTCTTTTACACAAAAGCAAGTATCCTTGTTTTCTTTTTAAATTCTTCCCTCACTACTATCCATGATAAGCCGCAAAGTATATTTTATCTTCTTTTTTTGGTTTGATATCTTTTCAATTTGTTCTTACATATATGTATGGTGTTTGGCTTCTTTTTTTAACAGCTTAGATGATGAAAAGAAGAAGTATACTTGTCTCACAATGGCTGAAAGGCTGGGGTTGCCTGACTTCTTCTCTTTGGACGTTAGTATATTTTATATCTTACTCATCTTTTATATGACGGTATTGAGTATGCACACAGTTCGACTATTTTCTATGCAGGTGTGGCGAGCATCGATTGGAGAGCTTTTAGGCTCTGCGGTTCTTGTTTTTATGTTGGACACCATAGTGATTTCTACCCTAGAAAGTGATGTCAAAATGCCAAATTTGATAATGTCAATTCTCATAGCAATTACACTCACCATTCTAATCCTTGCTGTTTTCCCTGTGTCTGGTGGTCACATTAGCCCTGTAATTACCTTCTCCTCTGCACTTGTGGGACTAATATCAATGTCACGAGCCATAATTTACATAGTGGCACAATGTGTTGGTGCTATTTTAGGTGCACTAGCACTCAAAGCTGTGTTGAGTAGTACCATTGAACAAAGATTCTCTCTTGGTGGTTGTACCGTTACGGTAGTTACGCCTGGGCTCAATGGGCCGGAGATTGTGGGCTTGGAGATAGCCCAAGCATTTTGGCTTGAGTTTATGTGTACATTTGCTTTGCTTTTTGGTTCACTTTGGATGGCCTATGATCATCGCCAGTCCAAGGCACTCGGGCTTATTACTGTCATGTCTATTGTTGGGCTTCTAGCAGGGATTCTTGTGTTTATTTCAACTTCAGTTACTGCTAAAAAGGGCTATGCTGGAGCTGGAATGAATCCAGCTAGGTGCTTTGGAGCTGCTTTTGTTAGAGGAGGCCACCTTTGGAATGGGCATTGGATCTTTTGGGTTGGGCCTGGACTTGCTTGTTTTGCTTTCTACTTTTATACAAAGATCATTCCTTCGAATCATTTCCAAACTGATGGATTCAAGCATGACTTCTTAGCTATAATCGAGGCATTGCTCAGTCAGAGATAGTCTAGTGTTTTTTGCAAATCATGTACTAATTGCAAACAAAATTCCTATCAATCATAAACATATAACTTGTATCCTTGTCAATTGTTTAGCTACCATTTAATCATTCGCTCAAAAATAGCCACTCATCGTAGCCTGACTCAATGTCACAAGCTGCACATAGAACAACTAGTGGCACTTCCACTGCTCCATGCAGTCCAATTGACGAGCACGGATTGTGCAGTACAAGGGCTCCATCGGTTTGTATGCTTCTTCCACCTCTGGCATCAAAAAGTCACCAAGCCAGTGTTCCAATTTTCATTACAAAGTCAACTGGAACCTACAGCACTCTGTTGTATCATGGTGATTAACTAAACCAGACCATCAACTCATTAATTAATTGAGATGCCTAGTTTCATTAGCCCTCCTTGTACTTCTCCTAATCTAAGGACAAATCGCCAGTTCGAATAGTACGCTGTTGATGGCTTATTCCTTTTCGTAGCCGTGTCTGGGAGAAGAAGCTGAAACCGGTCTGTTCCCAACTAAAAGGGGATTCGAGCTTTGGCTGTAACCATCTTTTCACAATAACACCATTGATTCGAATCTTCCCAAACGATTCGTTCCCTTGGTACGGCAGGCCAAGCCTCCTCAAAAGTGCTGCAACAGCCCTGTTGATCCTGTTGACCAAATAAGAGAATTTTGAACGTTATGTGAATCGTGCAGCTCTTAGAATGAAATAAACATACTGGAGCTCATGAAGGATGAATTCCATAATAGGCTTAACTTTGAATGAAATGTTATTCACTTATCCAAATGGGTACCCTTTGGATATCTTGGTTTCTATCATAGTGCTCGCTGGGCATGAGAAATGTTGAACTAAAAATAGTTCAGCCATATTAACATTATTTTCTCAGTCTTACATTTGTCCTTTATGTGTCCTGCTATTAATGTTATTTCAGAAAGAAAAAAAGAAATATATGTTTGAAGTAGATGATTTACTTTTTCTCATGTCATATTACCTACTGGTATATATCTTAAAATAAGAAGTTGTACAAAGAAGGAAATTTCTTCAAGAAAAGAGCTCTCATTACCTTCCAGCAATCTTAATTGTTTTCTCGCCAGTGGGTGTCTTAATATGTGACTGCTCTTCTACAGGGAGTAGAATGGATATGTTCGGTATTTTTGCACCTGCAAGATTTTCCCATCATTTCAAGAGATGCTAAACAATAAACATAAAGCAACACATTCTCATAGTAAAGATATTTCAAGTCTTGTGATCTTTCTTAATTCTCTCTTTTATGATTATTGATAAGGAAATAAAGAAGCTTTTACTCTCTTTAAAATGTAAAATGTACCAAAATGTCCTTTAATCTTGTGGTCTAAAACATGCCACGTGAAAAGTTAGAATTTAAGAAACATTACTTTTTTAAACGGACCCAAGTACGACAAATAAATTGATAAAGAGGGAGTACAATATTTGATCTCTAGTATAAAATTTTGCATTACTACTACAAGCAAACCTTATGCGATGTGTTATTATATGCAGGATAGAATGAGGGATGTGGAATTGTACTATAAAACTTTGCATTACTAATATTAGCAAACCTTATGTGATGTACTAAGGAAAAAAATGCATGTATTAGCAATACTTAAGTAAGAGCACCTAAAGACAGAAAATATTCTTTCAAGTAGGCAAAATAGTCTTTACCTGCAGCCAAACGATGCTTGAGACTCTTTAGGACAGTCAAAAGATATACCTGGTTAATTTTCAGAAAGAAAAGAAAACTGTCAAACAAAGTATTAGCAACAGAATTGTTGTGAAAATGGATGGGGAACCCATACAATGTATAAGATTGGCAAAAGTAATACATATGCATGAACAGTATTTTTTAACTTCCTAAATCTTAAAAACTATTAGGAATCCTGCAAAAGAGGGAAACATAAAAACAGAAAAAGAGAGACCTTTGCAGCCAAGTAGGATAAACTCCTATTATTAGTAACTGAAACCAATTAAGCTCGTCAAGCATAAGAATATTCTCGTGTGGTTACAATTGAAAAAATAAATAAATACTTATTTACTGCCCATTAAGACAAGCTTACCTGAGCTGCATGAATATGCAAATTCCTCACATCAACAACAATAGGGCTTCCCTTAAAGGAAGTCAATGGGACGATTCCAAGTGAAACTGCCTCCTAAGAAACAAGAAAATATGTGAGATAATCCACCATAATAACCAATAAGATGAAGTTGTAAACCTGATAAAAGGCAACTAAGATAAACCACGGACCTCAAGCAATGAACAGGCACGGGGATCATATTCACCAAATCCATCAATCAAAGAGCAAAGATTTGAGCCTTTTAATGTTTCCACGGTTACTCCTAGATTTTCAATAAGTCTTTCTTTTAGGGATGCATCACAAGGAAGCTGTAGGCAACCCAGAATTAGTGATAGCTCCTCAATTGTGGGTACCACACCAGCTCCAATTGTTTCCCTGTAGACCATTAAGGCCAACGATGTCCTGCAAACCAATTAAGAATTTCACAACTATGTGTACCACGTCTTTTAACAAAGCCAGCATTCATATAATTAACTTTAATGACATCTTTTATGTTTGGACTAGGCACAAGCAGTCCAGTCCCCCTTGAGCCTGAAGGGAATATCCACTCAAGAAAAGAAAATTCTTAAGATAATTCCTCACCGTATACCAAATTTCCCTAAAATATGCTAAACAAAACAAAATGGCAATCAGGCTATCTCAATACATGATTGCAACAATATGTTCAACACGGCCTTTTATATCAACTACTTTTACAAAAGAAATTGAGTGCATTCGCTAAGAGATAATTTTACATCCATCTTAATACACCATGAAGGTCAGCCTAAGCATTTCAAAGCTTTTAGAATCTGTATCTGATAAAAATAAAACAAAATAACGACAGAAACGTAGTAAACTATCACCAGAGGCATTTTAGATGGAAATGTTGATCTTAAACATCATGTTCAAACTGGCAAAGCCAACAACAGCGTCACTATAACAGTATATATTTTTCCTCTGCAATCCCTTCTTAACAGATATGTCAGAATCAGTAGCAGATTAAATAGAACCTTACCATTTACTGTCAAGCTGCGGGCAACCAGGGTTCTTAGACAAGACACGCTCACCAAGTGCACAAGCTTTCTGGAATCTCCTTGAGCACATAGCTACAAAAAATTCACATAATCAAATAATTCTGATGCCCAAAACAAATGACACAACAGAAAAATCCATTGCTACAGGAGAACTTAGATACATGGCAAGACTAGTGAACATTCTTGTTATGAAGGACAACAAAAAACAAAAACTGCAAAAGGTAGTGAGCCTCTCCTTTATAATGACCAGGTAAGGGGCATGATTACTAATACTGGCTTATCTACTAAGCATGCCACTCTCGTAGAAACTTAGATAATATCCTAAAAACATTCCTTACATTGGCATTATAGGGAGAGAATGAGGGACTTACATATGATGTTCAATCGCCAAGAGAAAACGTACATTAAATTCCCCAGCCATTCATCTCTTAAGGAGATTAATGGAGCAGTATAGGGAGATATACCGGGTATGTTGTTGTGGTTGTTACAGTATTAGGTCTAAGAATTGCTGGAAGGGATCAATTAGTGCATAAATGTTCCAGCACCAAAATCCACCAATTAGCAAGCTTATGAGATGAACTGAACCATAATTGCAACATGAGCATCAATAGCAACTCTGGAAAGAAAAGTTCCCGGAAATTTTGTTCCTTGTCAACCATAAGATAGGTACCAGGTCTCAACGATGGAGGGATCAATTTCAACTTAATTTGTTAGGTGGGCATAAAACATACATCTTTTTTCACCACCATGAACATATCCAAATAAAAAGAGAACATGCAATCCCTCTTGGTGATGGTGTAGCACCGTATGTTAAGTCAAGATTCAATAATAGCAAAAGCAATGCAATAACAAGCTTTTAATTCTTACCAAGAAGACATCTGCACATAACAAGGTTTGGGGCAACACCATCTTTTTTAGCATGAGAAAGAAGCATGAGACCAACATCCAGGTCATCCTTTCTGTCATGAGATGGGAAAAATAAATGATAAAACTCGAAAACTCAGATATACAGAAAATGATATATTGACAGGAGAAAATGGTCATAATACATAAACGTCAATGTAAAGGAATCAAGGTATTACTTTTCACTTGCCACTAAAAGAGTGGAGTATGTAATGGTGTTAGGGCATAGGTCCACTCTCTTCATTTCAGAAAAAATTTCCAGAGCCTTCTGATATTGATCAGCATAACCTATTACAAACACATCTCATTGAGGAAAATAAGCAAATGCTCACGAAATGAGAAACAACTTCACAGACGCTTATGCTGAGAAAATGTAGATATTATGGAGAAAGAAAAACAGGAGTGTAGATATTATGGAGGAATTAAAGAGAGCATCAGTGAGATGCTTATACTGAGAAAATGAATAAGATGTGACTTACACAATGCAGTTATCAATGCATTCATCATTGAAACAGTTGGTTTTAAGTTGATGCCTTTAATATCCTCATACAATTCTAGTGCCTTCTGCCAGTTCTTTGCCTGCAAATGGATTGGAGAAGTGTTTTATGACCAAGTCACATGACTTTGAAAGAAATCTTAAAACCAACTTCACATTCTTGCCTCAGATGCAGAAAAAAAAAACTAGCAGCAGCATCTAAAAGTGTATTTGGGGCTAATACTTGCTAGTTGATCGAAAGAGAGTTCATGCTGGTTGAAATGACTGAGAATAACAGCATAAAACAAGTTCTTTATGGCAGCAGTGGAAGACAATTTCACTGAACTAATGCTAGTAAGATAGTTCTGTATTTTAGACAGAGAAGTGGAACATAACATGATCCACTTTTCTAGCTTGTCTAAATATATGATCTTCCAAGGAACACTTAACCTCAATCTAATATTGATTTCGCTTGACAATTGTTCCTTCAGATTGGTATTCTCTCTTTTTAAATG